TAGAATGTATACGGTTTTGTCTCAAACTAAAATATTCGTAAATATGTGATCTCTCACTGAGGGAAAGGCACAGAGATGATATGGAATCTACACCACACCAGATGAAAAACGTGGTGGACCCTTTATTTCACTGGTGCTGGTGAAGAAACATCTTTTAGTTTCTGAGATGTTTATAGATTTTCTGGCCCTGAAATCATGTAAAATCACTTCTCTGCCCGAAATGAAAGAAAACATAACATAATTTCTGTTTTTGAGTAGTTCTGATTTATAACATGTTTGATTTGTATCATTGAACAATTTTCAAACTTTGATGTACACTGTTGGTTGCTTTTCGACATTTATTTCTGAACAAGGTAACCATAATTTACTAACTTTCTGTAGATACGTTTAGTTGAATATTATAAGATGATTTTTATGTGGTTTTTAGGGAATAAAAATACGAATTTATTTGTGAAGTTAGTGTGATTTCAGTTATTTATTCAGATTATGCTTAACATGTATCAGAATGAAGGTTAAAGTTGCGAAAAGACAGGTTGTATAACCTGCAAGGCTAGAAGTTTCGGTTTTTCTTGTAAAGTAGTTGGCATAATTTCAATTCCAATTGTAAGGTGTCTTCTTGAAGTCTTCTCTTCCCTTTTTCTATTAGACCCTATCTTTGTCTTTGTGAAATTAAAGCAATGGTGGAAGAACTCAAGTATATGTTAAATGACTGAGCTTGCTGGCCAGTGACTGGTGCCAGATACTGGAACAATCAGGGGTCTGGCTAAGGTTCTGCATATGTTCTGTTACACATAAAACTAAGTGAATAGCATATTCATTAGCACTTAGAACAAACGAGATCTTACATCACAATGACGAGTGAATATGTCACAAATGATCTAAGGCATAGCATACATGCTACACTTATGTTCGGATGATCTATTTCAGGAAAGGATCGGGTCATAGCCTTATTGGTCATGATGTTTTAACTTTGCATTGTTGGTTGAACTTCAGGCATGTGGCACAATGAGTTGACTTGGAGCTGGCAGCTCAATTCTGAATTGTTAATTGACCTAAGAACCTCTTGAAAATCTGTTGCACCTACAAGAGAACTATGGTGAACCTTCCAACAGATGACTTCGGCCTAATGCTTTGGAAACATGCATCAACCGCGCGAAGCAACTGGGAGACAGCCAATGACTTGTTGTTCAGATCCCTTCCTTGTCAACTGTTGATGAGATGTGATCTATTTACCACAGTCGACTCATGTGACAGTGAACAGTGCCCAACCACAGAAAAAGGATGCTCAGAAGACCATCACAACTAGAAGAGATGGACAGATATCTGACCAGCCCACATCTGTAGAATTGTAAATATTGTATATATTCATCAATTTAATAGGAAATGTTTTCAAATTATTGTGATTATTTATATAACTTGAGTGCATTTATATTTTCTTTGTGTTTTCAATTTTTGATTTGTAATATTTATATTTTGTTTGTTGAATCTTTAATTTTGTTTTCGGTTTTGATTAAAACTGGCCAGTGAAATTATTTAATATTGCATTTACTTTTTATTTTATTATTTTGTTATTCTTTGCTTTTATATTCTACATCTTTATTCATTTTAACTTGTACCGTGCATAATTTTGAGTTATATCCTAATTCCTATTTTATTTAGCAATTTGGAGTATTTAATTTCAGTCATCCTAGCTTGTTGCTTGAATTTTTTGTCAACCCCTGTTTTTGATTTTCTGTGAGTGTTATGTCATGTTGCCTGAAAAACATTATTACAGCAAATTATGACCTGTAATTATCTTTATGATTCGGGTGTTTATGTTTAATTTTAATGTTAAAATCTGGAAGACCCTGAGATAAGGAGAAAGGGATTGCCATAGATGAAATAACTAATAATTTATTTCATCCTTCTATAACTAGCGTAGAATATATTTTTTATTCAAGTATTTTCAAATAATTTTTCATGCAGATGTCCTGCGGGTAATTATGACATTCTCCTTAAAGCCAGATTTTGAAATGCTGCTAACATGTACTAATCTTTTTAGAAGCTTGTATCACTTTGGCCATATGCCCGTGTTCGCTACCTTAGGGAGGGGCGTTCATCTCAAAGGGTGACTCAAGTACTTGTACAAATTGGCATAAGTGGTATTTAGCTCCTCTCTCTATGTTACTCAGAACGACCAGTGACATATGCAGTTTGAGATTTTGGTATACCATACTTGGATTCTTTGTCCGATTTAAAATTTTAGTAAGCCATAATTATTTGAGTGTTTCTCTTGAGCAGACATTTTTGAAGATTTCTCTCTAGCTTAACAGCCAGTGAGAAATTACTAAATGAAATACACAAGCAAGTTAATGAACTAGGAATTACAAATTTACAAATTCCTTTATATATTGAAATTAATAACATTAAGATTTATGTTATATTGTTTATTAATGTTTGTACCTATTCCTGGCCAGGCACTGGTTTGAACATTTTTGTTGGGATTTCTGTTGTTATATTTAATAAATTATTTTTGCCGTTGTAGTATATGACATTCACCCTGACTAAAAGGTAATATGTATTAGGTCATCAAGAAATTAATGTTACTTTTTTATATATATACTGTATATCAAAACAAAACATTTATTAAATAAAATAGTCTCCATTCTTATCGATGATGCTTTTCCATTTTAGAATCAGGTTGTTAATGCCCTGATTAAAGAGATCACTTGGCTTTGAAGTAAAAAACATGTTTATGCCCTCTTTAACACTTTTAACATTTGCATACGTTTTCCCATTAGGATGGTATTGCAGCGAACGAAAAAGATGGTAATATAATGGTGCCATATCTGGAGAATGTGGTTGGTGGGGGAGAACTTCCCAACCCAATTCCATAATCTTGTGTTGCGTCAAACGTGCCGCATGTGGACGTCCATCGTCGTGGAGAAGAACACCTTTCCGATTGACGAGTGAAGTCCTTGATTTAAACGTTTCAGTTGCTGACTATAGGTCTCTGCATTGACAGTTCGCTGTGGATTGAAAAGTTCGAAATGAATTACTTCTTTGCAAATTACCACTTTCTGCGGATGGAGTCCAGGTTTTGGGGTCGGAAGTGATTTTTGTCTAGGACTGAGCCATTGTGTTTGACGCTTAATATTTGCATAGATAATCTATTTTTCATCACCGGTGACAATTCTGTACAAAACTGGTTCACGCGCATTGCGCGCCAGAAGAAAGGAACAACGTTCACACGTTGGAAACGATGATCATCTTCGTGAGGCACCCAAACACCTTCTTTAAGGATTTTTCCCATATTCCCCAGATGTTTACGTATTGCGAGAGACATGCAATTTCAGGGCCATTTCACGAATGTGTTGCCTTGGGTTAGACTCAACAAGCGTCTTC